CTCTGATGTAGCTAACGCTGCTACGAGAATCACATATTCTGCAACAAAACCAACTACGTAGTCACTATTCTGCTTGTGCACTGAATACTTAAGCCGTAGATTGTAGACTAAGACGAAAAAACAACAACAAAAAACAACTTTTTTGCGTATCCTCTGATAGACTCGACGTACACGTCCTCCTCACCCCGCGAAAAAAAAAAGACTGACTGTTATTACATTCACGAAGTGAGTGACCCAGCCGTTGCACTAGGTGCATCCTGCCCTGCCCCCTCTCCCTACCCTTGCGCCTTGCCCTGCTCGCAGCCGGACAGTCTTGGAGGCGCCGCTGCCGTGGCTGCTGGCGCTGCTTGCTGCGACGTGGACCTGCTCGAGTTCAAGACCCCCCTGAGCGAGGACTCGGGCCTCGGGCTGGGCGCCGACTACCCCAGGTACGACTGCTGTTTGCTGTTTGTCTCTCCCCCCTTGGCTTCGTAGAGAGGACCCTGGACGCGGTGTAGTTCACGCGCCTGTCTGTGTCCGGCAGGTCCAAGCGAGGCTGGCCCTCCATGCCCGGCCCCCACCACACTTCGGACTTCTCCGAGGAGGACATGCTACAGGTACAGAGGCTGCTCGATGCTTTCGCCCATATTTTTTTTGCAAAAATCTTAGACAAAGTAGGTAGGCCGAGGTAGGCGGTGTTTTTCTGTTTTTGTTTTTCTTTTACCTTCAAATTGGACCATATGGAAGCTTCGGCGTGTGTTTTGGAATGACGAACGACACGCGAATCCGTAACCAACCCCCATACCCGAGCACGGGCCTAAAGCTGTGTCTGCTGTATTATTGTGTGTTTGTCTTAGCTATGTGCAGTGAACTTAGAACATAGCGTATAAGGCATGCACTAGCAGCGTTTCGTGTTGTGGAACTGACGTTACATGTCCCCTCTCTGTAATCTGTGTATGTGTGTTATTTTCACTGTGGAAAAGTATGTACGTATTTTCTATATGTTTCATCACTTTAATTCGCAAGGGAAGCCGTGCATTTACGACCAAATATGGGGCATGTGAATTTAATTCGGATCAGTAAAAATTCCGGTACATGAATTCTGGCCCACATATAAAACTACAGACAGTTGATCCAAATTAGGTATTGATCCGAAATAAGTTCAGTCGCTCTACAATTATTTAAAAAAAACAACTCTTTGTTATTTTATAGTTATAATTTGTAATTTAACGATGAGCTCATAACTTTACCACATTCATCATGTACTATTTACCCATAACAGTATTTTTTATATTATTTTTTTTTTTGTAATTTGTGGGGGTTATTTTTCGTTTACTGGATAGCGCGAGTTGAACACGTACAAGTGCACAACTATGGAGTTGAATACTTGCAACTATTCTACTTGCATATGAACACCTCATCAGTTTTTATATAAATAGAAATCGTCGCAATTTTTCAGTCATTTTTAACAATTGCAATTCAAAAATATGAGTAAAGAATTACGACCTTTAGTGGCCAAACATGAACAAAAAAGTGATCTTTTTCTTTCTTTTTCCCCCCTTTATCTTTGCTTCCTCCAGGAGTACGGTAGTCTGGAGCGGGAGAAGCTGCGCGGAAGGCGACATTCGAGCCCGGAGAACTCGCTGTCCGGCTCCATCACCGGACTCCAGAAGGACGGCTTCGACGACTCCCGCATGGTGAGTGAGAGCGGAGTACGGAGTACGAAGTACAAGATAGATTCATCATGATGTCGTTTATTGAGTATTTACAAAGGCGAAATGGTTTCATAGAAAAAAAAACCCTAGTACACACTGCAGGCATTGCGTGTGGATTTACATGAAGTAGTTGCAAACTTATAAGTAGAGTTTTCGAAAGAAATATGAGTCAGTGATGGGGGGGTTTATCCCTTTTGTATATTCCATCGTCGTGCTCCGGTCCACACGTTTTTTTATTCTTTTGTCTTTTCTCTATTTTAAATTGAGATCGAGACTATCGACGTTTCCAAAATCAAACTGATCGTTTTGACCTGCTCTGTCATCTCGGAATCTTCTTAAAAATCACTTCAACATACTTTTTTTGCCGCGAGAAACAAATAAGCAACAAAACGATACCAACTTCGTCACACGATATTAAATAAAACTTACTCTCTAAAAGCACAGCCTTGCGGGGTTATTAAAGTATTTACAAGTGGCTTGGGGGCGGCCGGCGGGCGGCGCTCCGGCGTCACAGCTTGTCCTGGATGGCCCTCCTCAGGTCCTCTGTGGCCTTGCCCAGCTCGAGGCGCGCCCGCTGGCCCTTGCCGCCGTCCTCGTCGCCGCCGTAGTCCTTGGGGGGCTCCGCCGGGCACCGCGACGAGCCGAACTTGGGCCTCGGGATGCGCACCCGCTTCACGTCCAGCAGCCACGACTCCATCCCGCGCACCTGCAATCAGTCCGATGGTGGGGGAGTTTACTCAGGGGAAAATGTAATTTAGAGTTGGAAATTTCCCAAATTTTCTAGAAAATTTCCAAAATAATTCTTGAAAATTTCCCGAACATAACGGAAAACTTTCCAAAGTCTGGGAAATTTTCAATTTTTTCCCGGAAACCTTACATTTTTCCGGAAATTTTTCAGAAACTTTCCAGGGCTTCCAACCCTAATACAATTTGAGAAACAGCACACAGGACACTGGGAGAACAAAGATGCCAACGGCACTAAATGCCTTTGCGTGAAGGCACTAAAATGTCCGAAAGTAGTTCCTTATTGGGCGAGTAGCGACTATGTTAAGACGCTAACGCTTCTGAAAAGGGCAATATACGGCACTTTTGTTTTTCCAGTGTTATAACAATGAAAAATGTTAGGCATTGGAAAAACATATCCTGCACAAAATGGGCGGGGCGGGCAGCTTGGTGACGAGGGTCGGTCTCCTGCCATGTCCTTCCCCTCCTCCTCCTGACTCTTCCCGCCCCTTTCTTCCCCAACCCCCAACCCCTCAAGATCCGCGACGGAGCCAGACATAGACATCAAAGCCCCACCTTTCCTGGAAGCCCAGGGTGAAATAACTCCCTGCAGTGTTCGGAGGGGCGCGTGTGCGCGACGTGTTTTTTTTTTCTGCTATGGAATGGGGCCAGTCTAGACAGCGCTTCAATCCGAGACCGACGCTTTTGGCCTGGTGTTGGTCCGGGGGATCCGATTCGAATCATTTGGGGAAGGGAAATAGGACGGCTCCGGTTGAACTAATGGGGCAAAAAAGGCGTCGCGCGAGTCAAGGCCGCCATTTGCCGTCTCACGCACACGGCCACTGCCAACTCTCGAGGCCCCTGATGGGAAGACAACAGTTGGCCTGCAGTGCACGCGTGTGCTGCGGGGTGGCCTATCCCGACTTTCGCAGGCGCCTCTTGCTCCCGCGGTATTTGCCTTGCCGATAGTGAATCTGAGGAGAGAATATAAAAGAAAGAAAAAAAAATCGGCCGTGCGCGTACTTTTATACTGGACGATCCTACAGCAGATAGCAGACTATAAGTAATTAATTGTGGCGTTGTTATGAAGCGACGCGCGTAATTCTTATTGTGGCCAGAACTTTTGGCTGTTTTGGCTACGATGGCTGGAAACAGTGATAATTAATAAGTCTCCCTTGAAAAAGGGGGAGGGAAGGTGGTGAAGTCCATTTTTTTAGTAGATGATACCGTAAATACTTTCACTAAGTATAGGGCATACATAAGTAACTTTAAGGTACAGCTGGCTTTAACTCTCTATGGGCAGAAAAGAGAACTTAGAGCAAAACCAGTAATCACCCTCTTTTGCGCGCTGGAGAAAATGATGTGTGTGGGCTGGCTAAGCGTCGCGCGCGTCGCGCCAGGCCCTGCCTAACAATACTGCGCGAGTGGGGGGATGGGCCCGCCTTCCCTGCCCAACAACAATACTGAGCCGCCACTGGTTTTATCAAGTGTATGACTGTACGAATGCAAGC